ATGAGGGAGACAGCTGTAGATCGGAAACATCGTTTGTCACTCTCTATTCTCACTGGGAGGAAAATTAGAAGGCAGAGCCCCCGGGCCTGACTCAGACCCTGCCATGAGTTCTTGAGGGTGTGGACAACAAGGGTAACTCAACTATCTTCAGTAGTCTCAGTGTCAAGGCCTATTGAAGCTGTTAGCCTGGCAGCCAATCAGAAGTGTGGTGTGGGTGAGCACGGCTGAGAAAGCGACTCCAGGGTGAGCCTAACCTAAATGGTGTGCCGCTACTCACCTCTTACAGCAGGAAGTCATCAGGGGAGACACTCAGCTCTCTGCTGTACACAGCCATTGAATGCTGAAAAATGCTACCCTAGGGATGACTGGCAGCATCTTAAGATTTAATTCAGATAGGACATCTGGTTAAGGATGCTTCTCAGGGTCACATGGAAGGTGTGAGAGGTATGGTTGTCATGGGGAATATGTGTCAGGAAGTGGGGAGGACAGAGGAGGAGGATGATTTTGACTTCAGAGGAGGGAATAGCAAGAGCTAGGCCACAAGAGGGCAGGGTGGCTTCTGGCAATGGGAATCGAATTTTGTGCAGCTGTAACGAGGGTTGCTTGATTGCACCTGGAGGCAGGTGTAAACTGTTGGCTGCGTGTGCACCGTGAAGGGTCTTGGAGGACTGCTCAAGAGTTTGGAATAAGCACTGGGAGCTGATGGAGAAAGGACAACAATTGTGATGGAAAGTGATGGGGGCTCTGGATTTGAATCTGATTCTACCATTTACTCGCTTGGGCAAGTTTACTCTGAATCTGTTTATTCGTATGCAAAATGCCTTCTTGCAGGGTTCTGAGGATTAAGTGAGATAATGAAATGTGTAACTTGCATTCAGTTACTTTAGGAGACCGTCTTATTCAATGTTGTTCTCACTAGACTGTACATTATTAGAAGCCAGTGCCTTATTCATGCCCAAACTCAAACACCCAGACTAGTGCTTGCCTGCAGAAAGTGCTCAGTAAATATTTGTTAAATGAATGAATGAAAGAATAAGCCAGTAGAACTTGATACAGAGTCATTTTTCAATAATTTTTCATTTAAATCTGAATAGAAGTTGTTATGGTACCACAATCAGATAGATCTTCATCTCAGAAGGATAACTGTGGCAACAAGGAGGTGAGGGGTTTGGAGGAGGCAGAGGCGGGAACAAGGGGAACTCTTGGAAGGCTTTGCACTAATCTCAGTTAATGACATTCATCAAGATAGGAAATACTTAAGGAGGAAGAGGAGGAGCAGGTAGAGGACAAGGCATGGAATAACAGACTCAATTTTGAGCCTGTTGAGAGTGAAACTTCAATAGGAAGGGCTGGGTACTCAGTGAGCTGTTGCAGGTACCCACCTGGAGATACCGGGGAGAGAAAGAATTATAAGCCCTGAGTCTGTTAGATGTGGTTGATACCATTGGCTTAGGTGAAACTTACCCCCCAGGGAGAGCAAGGGTACACAGCAGGAGAAGAGAAACCCCAGGATGCTGAAATGAAGGTGGGCATAGGCGGATGGAGAAAGTGGTTCCTAACTTGTTTATAATGGACTATAATTTCAGAAATATGGTTATCATGAGAGTAATCACAGAGGTAAACCATGAGGCCGCAGAGTATAGAGTTCAAGGACTTGGGTTCTGGGCTCAGACACAGCCGGATTGATATTTGGCTCCATCATTAACTAACAGTGTGGATATGTGCAAGTTACTTGCCTTAGCCTCCCTTTTCTTTCTGTGAAATATAGATGGTAACTGTAGCTTCCTCATAGGTTTGTTGTAGAGCTTAAATTATGAACAAATGATTAGCACAGTGCCTGCACATACTAGCTAAGAGTGACTTCAAAATATGTCTCCGGGGTAGGGTGGCACCTACCCTGGTTTTCAACCTCTTCTATATGCCAGTAAATCTGATCATAAGGTCATAGGCCCTAAATCTGATCTCCACCCCTGCTACCCTTCAATTGGATAGATGAGGAAACCTGATGTCCAAGGTTGCTTGATATATGTATATATCAAGCTGGAGTCGGAGCTGGGACGAGAATACAAGCTCCTGACTTCCAGGCCTGTATCACGGCTTTTCTGGTACATGCAGAACTACAGGGTGGATCTTACAAGAGGATCTGGCCACATGACAGGGTTGTACTTGAGAAAGGAAAAAAGCTTAAAATGGTATCTTTCATCATCTGACGCTTTGACTTAGGAAAGTGGCCCATTCATCATTTCAATGGAGCTTTCTGAACCCCAGCACGGTGCCATGGATTTAAGGCTGTGGCTGCTACAACTTTAGATCCAGCCTCCTCTTCCTAAGTCCAGACACAAGAACAGCCAGTTTCCTCCTTTGTGCGATACAGTCTCTTGTTCAGACTCTTCCGTGCTCCCTCCCTCTTACTCTGGCCAAGCTATCACTGTTACTGATTATTCATAGGGAAGAGGTTCAGAGGTTCAGACAGGGCCATTAGATGCTGAAGGGAGTCCTGTCTTCCTTCCTTTGAGACCCTGGGGCTTCAGTCTGGATTTTTCCTCCTGGAGGCTGGCCAACTTTGGTATGTTATATATGATCTTTATGTATTTCTTCTAGTCCTAAAGTCCCTGCCAGCACAGTCTCTGTTTTGCTGACTTCTGACACATGAAGAAACCTTTCTTCCAAACCTAGATTCATTGACAGCTGGGGTAGAGCAGGGGAAGAGACATTAACTAGAAGTCAAGAGGCTTTTAAAGTAATGAGCCGTGATGAACAAGTTCCTTCCCTCAGTTTCCTTATTTATAAAATGGGCGTAGTACCAGCTCTTAAGGTAAAAGAGTAGCCCAGGTGAAATAATGGATGCTAAAAGGGTTTGAAAAGCCCTATTCAGATGTCAGATTTTCATAATGTTTGGAATGGCAGAGAGCAGCACCCTGAAAGAACACAGCGTCCCTGAGAACTTTCCTAACCAGGGCTGGCATCTGGGGTGTTGCTTGTAAGGAGAGATTCGTGCTGACTCCCGGGGTACCTTGGCTTGGTGTTTGAATAGGTTATTAGCTGTATTTGAAGACTGCACATTGTGAATGTCGTTGCCGTTGCATTGCAGAGCTTCCCCATGTGACTCCAAGGACACACAGTGCAGCCACAGAGAATCTGGGGCCTGTTTTTTTCCCCTAAGTATTAGATTCCCACTGAGCATGGAGGCTCTTTTTATGAAGAAAAGCATGTTTCTTAGCTGGCCGGACAAAGCAGGTGGGCTGTTGTTGATGGCCCACGGGTCACAGGAAACCACCTCTCTGGGGAAAACCCCCCAAAACAGCCTCTAAAATACCCATTTGAAAAAAAAGATTGCTGCAGATCCAGACAAAGCCAGAACCTACTTTCAACCCCATTAATGTGAGATCTTCCCCTGCAAACACCCAGTAGCTCACCCCAGCCCCTGGCGCCGGCCGTCTCCCTCCCCTTTTCTGCCTGCCAGATGAGACAGCTACTGGTATTGACAGTTCTCCTGCACCGAGGGCGGCCGGCCGGCTGGGGTGCTGACTCTCAGCTCTCTTGTGTTTGTGCCTGTCAGGCACTCTCAGGCTTCTGGGAAGCAGACTATGTGGGAGGATGAAGCCAAATTGGGCTGCAGTTTGAAACCTTTCTGAGCACTGATGAATTTGGCTTAGGTAGGAGTGGGAGAAGGTTTCTCCTGAAACCTCTCCTCTCTGGTTCCTTAAGCCAGAGCTTAACATGGAGTTGGCAGCTTGGTGTCTGGGGGCTGAGTCTAGTCCTCCACCAAGCTTATGCTTTCCCAGGACTGGATTGTTTCAGAACTATAGGCAAACCTATACAGACATGGAGAGAGTCTTGATAATCCCTCTTAGCCACTGTCCAGGGTGCTCTGGGGTCCATGGGGCATCAGACTCCATGAACATGGTAGCAAAGCCAGGCTCTGAAGCCTGTTTCCCCACTGGGAATCCAGCCACTGCTGTATTTAAAGATGGCAGCCGGGCACGGTGGCTCATACTTATAATCCCAGCACTTTGGGAGGCTGAGGCGGGTAGATCACAAAGTCAGCAGATCGAGACCATCCTGGCCAACATGGTGAAATCCTGCCTCTACTAAAAATATAAAAATTAGCTGGATGTAGTGGCACACACCTGTAATCCCAGCCACTCACGAGGCTGAGGCAGGAGAATTGCTTGAACCTGGGAGGCGGAGGTTGCAGTGAGCTGAGATCGCGCCACAGCACTCCAGCCTGGGCAACAGAGCGAGACTTTGTCTCCAAAAAAAAAAAAAAGGATAGCAAAGTGCCCACCCAAATAGCCTCATTGCTGCTGAGGGTCTGTATATAACAGTGACTAGGAGTGTAGGAAGGCGCACACACCTGGGCTGAGTCCCAGCACACAAGTGCTACCTGTGTGACTCCAAGCCTCAGTTTTCTCATCTGTACACAGTCTCTGTCTCAAGGCCGTTGGAAAGAGTCAGTGATAGAGTGCATGTAAATCACCTGCACATACAGTTGTTCACACAATGATAGCTATAACTACTATTGGTCTATTGTGGGATTATTGTCTTAACTGCTTTGAAGGATTCAGCCCTGGGTGTTCCTTTATCCAGTCAGATGGGGAAGTATAATTGAGCCCTCCTCAGTGTTAGAAGTGACAAGATCTGGCCAAGACCAGACTATCAGGAAGGTGCACAGAAAACCTGGGCGGTGTTTGCAGGCTCCTGTGTATCCTGAGGGCCAAATTCTATGGGTGGGAAGGCAGCTTGCTCTCCAGGTTGCCATAACTCTTCATCTGATTTCCATGTGCTTGTGGTGACCCTGCAGTTTCTCCTGGAATTTCCAACTTAAAATATTGCTGTTTCCCCAGGCAGGGCAGATATTGATTTTCTTCTCTAGCCACTCCGAATGACCCGGCAAATGGGGGAGGTGGCGGGTGGGGATGAGGAAGTGGACTAGGGAGAACGGAGGAGGGATGGGGGTATTGCTCTTGTAGCTAGCTCCTTCTACAGGTTCTAGTCCGTGGAACCTGAGTCATGGGAGCTGATGAGAATGGGCTCCTTCCAGAAGCAAGTACATGTTGAAGAAAGAACAGAGGGAATGTTCCCCCTTGGGTCCATCCTGGTCCCTTCCTTCCCTGCATCCCTGATGGGACCTGCGGTTCCCTGAGTCTACTTGCCACCGGGGGCGGGTGGCACCCAGGCGGCGGGGAAGGGGGGACAGTGACAGCCCAGCCGGCTTTGAGGAACCTTGCAGAGGAAGTGGCTTCAGAACTGCTGTGCGCGAGGGGCAGGAAAGGCGCGGGAGGCGGGGGAGGTGCGGAGATGGCGCTCTGCAAGGCGGCGGAAGGAGGGAGCTGGTGCCGGGGACACGAAACCGCAGAGCCCGGGCGAGTCAGGGAGTGAGGTACGAGCCAGGCACCCGGGGCTCTACAGGCGCAGGCGGCGCGGGGACAGGAGCAGGTTACCCGGCCGCTCGCCCGCACCGGGTGAAGGAAACGCAGGCAGCCAGCCGGCTCTGCTTGGCCAGGTACTCGACCAGCTCCTGGCTCGGGGCTCAGGGCTTGGGGCTCAGGGCTTGGGGCAGAGCCCGGGGAGGGGCGCCCACCTCCCTCCGCCGCATCCCGAGCCCGGCCCCCTCTGATGCGCTGGCGGCCTCAGGCGGGAGCTCCGGGCTAGATGACCGTGGACAGCAGCATGAGCAGTGAGTACTGCAGCCTGGACCAGGAGCTGGAAGACTGCTTCTTCACTGCTAAGACCACCTTTTTCAGAAATGCGCAGAGCAAACGTCTTTCAAAGGTAAACATAATAATGGAATGCAGGAGCCTTTCGTGGCGGGGAATAACCTCTGTGGTCTAGAGGGGAAACCTTGCTCCCAGCAAAGGGACAAAGCCAAATGTCAGGAAAGTGGCCAGGCACTTTCCTGGAGCCTTCAGGGACCGGCACTGTTCAACTGGTCAGACCTCCTTGCAGCAGTTCCGTCCCCAGATCTCTTCAAAATGGCTCTCTAGAATGTGAGGCCTGCGCCTGGCTGGTAGATTGGCTGCAGGTTCACCTGTGCCTGAGTGCAGGGTCTCACCCCGCAACCCCCTCCCCAAATCCTAGCTTAAGAAGTTCCAGATGGAAACTGAATGGAACCCAGTCTCTCAGTAGGCTAAACATTCATTGGTTGATAAACATTCGTCAACACACATTCATCGGTAGAGACTTCCGTATTTGAAGTGGCCAGAAACCACCTTAAGTCGTAATCCTGCAACTTTGCAGAAGTCCAGGGTGTTTATAGAAGCAAACGAAAACTTGTGGCCCAAGCTGCTGTCATGCTACCACTTTAACTTCCTGGGTTGGTTTGGGTCACCTAAAGGGGCTTGTGTGTGTTTACTGATGGCATGTGGCATATGTGTTTCCTAAAGGTGTCCCCCTCTAGACACCCAGCAAGCCTGGGTGCCCTGGCCACTCTCCCAATTGCCTGCAGGCCTTATGCCTGTCAGTATCTTGGTGGGAGTGGAGGCAAAGCTGAGTTTGTTTATTTGTTTTGCTACTTAGATGAGAGGGCTCCAAGCCAGGTCCTTAGAGAGGTTACCTAGAAGGGGCTGTTTATAGACAGAAGTGAGCTGTTACATTTCACAGGTGTGTGGTGGGCTCATCATTAATTCAACAGTGCTACACCAATTCAAATGAACCAAAAACTTCCCAGGCCTGACTCTGGAGCCTCTGTTGTTAATAATTCATCTTACCTGTAGGCCCTTGCCTTTCCTGGGTTCTGAAGTCAGGCAAATGCACTGGACCTTCCAATTGTGAGAAGAGGCCCAAGAACCAAAGGAGAGGTTGTGATTTTACCTTTGAAGGAATCAACTGAAATAGGCCTCTGTAACTAGCACCTGTTTTCTGGGGCACCAGTCATGAGGCTGGAGAGCAGGGGATGTTCTGGAGGGTAAGAGGCAAAGGGACAGGCGTCCCTTTCCCTGGCTGTAGTGGGGGGCTCATGCAGAACACCATGGCTGCAGAGGGAAGGTGTCCCACCCTCCTGTGGGTTCTTGCCACAGCATGTAAGTCCTCCTCTTCCCCCATAGATACTCCAGCTAGCTAGGTATTTAGACCAGTGGTTCTCAACCTTAGCTACACACTGGACTAACAGGAAGCTTTCGAAAATACTGGTGATCCCTGGTTCCCATGCCCAGAGCATCTGATTTAATTGGTCTGGGGTGCAGCCTGGGCATCAGGATTTTGAAAAGCTCCCCAGGTAATTCTGACAGACAGCTGAGGTTTTGAACTGTCTCTAGAGCGTTTTGTTGCTGCCTGGGAAGGAAATGGTTCCTGCTGTTAAACCGAAGTTTAGCTGCTGTGTTTGCCGCTCACTGCCAGCCAGGCTGCAAGCCCTTGGTTTCCGAGGGTGAGATTTTCGCATAATAAGGTGAGGAAGGGGCACTGCAAAAACGGGTTTCTTTGACTTGGCAGTGGAAAAGATACCTGTTTCTGATATTTCTTGGGAGAAATCGAAATATCCTACAAGAAAATACACTGGGATGGGGTTGGTGCCAGGGGACAGCTTGCTCCATGGCCTAAACAGCCATCTCTCTTCCTTCCTCCCCCCAATTCTCCTTCCTCGTCTGGCTCCAGAAAACACACCTTTGGTTTGGTGCACACAGAAACACTTCCTATGAATCCACCTCATATCTTGGGGCCTCCATGTGTCTTCCTGCCTCATCTTGCCAGAGTCTATGAGTCCTCAGAAGACAGGAATCCCTTCTAAGAAACTCCTTTTACTGAACCCCAGACAGGGCGATAAGGAATAAATGCTTCAGGGTGGTGGGCATAGCACCTCTTATCCTTACGGGAAGCGTCTTCACTGGATATTCAGGACTGGGGTCAGGGGCAGTGTTCCTCAGCACCAGGCTGGCCTTCAGCACAGAACTCTCCAGGGAGGAGCAGGGCTGGGTGAGCAAGTGCAGGGCGGACTGAAGTGGGCGAGGCTGACTGAGCTGGGGAAGCATTCTCTAAAGGTTTCAGTCCTTCCTTCTTCTAGGTGTCTTTTTACCTTCAATAACGCTTTTCAACTCTCTCTTCTCCCTTGGATCACTCCTGGAAGGGATTTTAAAGAGCTCTGCCATATTCTGACCCCATTCTGACCTCTTACAGTCCTTTTTTTTTCTTCCCCAAAGAAAGATCACATCTGAGCTCCTCAGAGAATTTCTTTTTCCTGTCTCCAAGGAAAGGAATGCCTGTGTTTCCTGGTCGCTGAGAGACTGAGGCTCTCATTTGGGAAGGGCTGAGCTTGCTTCTATAAATAGCCTTGTCAGAACAACCTGTGTGCCTGCTCAGTCTGCGCCTGGCTGGAACGGTGCTGCAGGGAAGCCTCACTGCCGTGCGATGCCACCGCATGGGAGCTGTCGCCAGTCAGTCCCAGGAGTTCCGAGCCTCCTGTCCATTGCCCTTTGGGGAGAGGTTGGAGGGGTGAGGAAAGTCTCCTCATTTCCTAGGAAGGGGGTGCCTCAAGGTCAGGAGACAGCAACGTGGTGGGGGCACCAGGCCGTGGGCTCTAGCTTGGTCTCTCCTTTAGGAAAATGGCAGTTTCCTGGGGCCACGTGCTTCCTTTGAAAGGGGCTGGGGACTTGGTTTTGAGTCACATCACAGTTTTAGGAGGCTGAGGTGGTACTTTCCCACTTGGCCAGCACAATTAGATCGTGTTTCTCTGGGTCATGCATGTCACGAATGGGGCTTGAGGGAGAGCCAGCCTGTGGGTTTGTGCAGTGCAGACGCAGAAGGTCTCAGTAAGCCCAGCATAGTTACCTCAATCTAAGGTGTTGGCTAGATGGGTAGGAAACTTAGGTTACAGGACAAGGTTTTGATGGACCCAGGGTTAGAACTTACTCTCTTGCCTCCTAGCCCAGAGAATTTTCTTCCTTGGCCCCATAAAAGACAGGGTTTGGTGATTTGTAGGACTGGTGAAGCCAGGCCAGGTCCTCTGTCCATCCCTGCCGTTTGTTCATTTTTTTTCCTATCAGGGATCTGACCCTGGAAGTGGGACCATGCCCATCAATTCCATTGTACCTTCCAGAACCTTCCATTCCCATCAATTTCCCAAATGCCTACAGGTGGTGGCCATTTAGGGTTTTGACATCTGAGCAGGGACATGGGTGCTCTGAGCTCTCTCTGCATGTTATTAAACAGGCTCCGGGACCCCAGGACTCTGGCACCGGCCCAGAGCGTTGGGGTGAGTGTTCTGAGGACATACAACCTGCTGCTTGCAGAGTGTCAGAGCACCTCACTTTACAGAGAGAGAAACTGAGGCCTAGAGAGGTGGAAGGACGTCACCAGGCCACACATCTGCTTGGGTAGAGACAGGACTAACCCCTCAGGACTCCTTGTCAAGTGCTCTTTTTCTTGGTCGTTTCCTACTCAGTAGGTGACCCAGGATAGACTGCAGGCCTTGTCCTCTCAGTACCTTCTGCAAAATAGAACACTCAAACAACCTCAGGCTGGGTCAGGTCTTGAAAGGTTCTTCTCATCCCTCCATTCCTTAAGGCACACTAGCTAAGGGAACATCTACCCTACACTTGACACTAGCAGGGGGCCCTGTCATCTTACAACTTTATGAACTGTTAAAGTTCTTCTTGGTATATGGCCTACAATTGAAATATGTTGTTGAATAAACATCTGTCTTCCCAATGGAGACTCCTCCTCATGTGTGTTTTTGTCTGTGGATATGAAGAACAAAAGGTTGACTATATTTATAGTTAAATATTTTTCTTTTTTTTTTTTTTTTTTCTTTTTTTTAATGAGACGGAGTCTTGCTCTTGTCGCCCAGGCTGGAGTGCAATGGTGCAATCTTGGCTCACCGCAACCTCTGCCTCCTGGGTTCAAGCAATTCTCTTGCCTCAGCCTCCTGAATAGCTGAGATTTTAGGCACCCACCACCACACCCAGCTAATTTTTGTATTTTTTTAGTAGAGATGGGGTTTCACCATGTTAGCCAGGCTGTTCTCGAACTCCTGATCTCAGGTGATCCCCCTGCCTTGGCCTTCTAAAGTGCTGGGATTACAGGTGTAAGCCACTACACCCAGCCTATAGTTAAATGTTATATTTAAGTGCATAGAGAACACACTCCCATGTCTCCATCCACCTACGCCTTCTCTGGTCTACAGTGACACCATTAAATTCTTTTTCTTCAAGGAAGATGCAAGAGGAAGAGGGTCCTAGAGGTCAGATCCTACTCTACTCCCTGTTCCCTGCCTGTTCCCTTTCATCTCCTGCCTGGCCAGTCAGCTCCTCCCCCGCCGGACAGGGTCCCTGTGGTAATCTAGGGACCCCAGCCAACCCCACAGCCCTGGGACAAGTTGGAGAGGTTCCCATCTCTCTGCTAGCAGCAGGCACATCCAGGCCTCAGGCATGGCACCTGCCCTTCACCACCTTGGCATGAGAGAAAAGAAAAGAATACTAAAAATAAGTTAGCTCCAAATTTGAGCAATAAAAATAAAACAAGAATCTTTGGAACCATTGGCCCATTTGACTGTTCTTTGTGTGGTATCTCAAAGGCTTACATGGCTCAAGACTAGTTCCAAAAGAGATTTCAGACTGGCACAGTCTCTGGAGAGACTCATTTAGAGATACCGTCCAAACTCCACACCAGTGGGATTCACTGCCCGCTGCCTCCTCTGGCCCTTCCCAGTATCATCAGCCCTGTAAGATCAGAACTCGCATCTCCTTCAGGTCCAACACCGAGTACTTGGTTACAAAAGCTGGTACCGACTAAACGCTGCTCGGGTTGAACTGCTGCATCTTCTCTCTTGCATCCTGTGCAAT